AGTTAACAGCTCTCCATGTTTAGTCCACTTTCTGTAATAAACACACTTCTGCAAAGCTATTAAACTTCTATGATCACAGTATATTCTGTTAAAACTTGCCATTTAAACATTAGACAATTTGTATTATAAAGGCACTACCTAGCATTTTTGTTTATTAATGTTTCAATTTATGTAGTAATACTTATAGAACATTACCCACATCCTAGAAACTGTGGCAAGTGAAGTGATAGAAGAGGTATTTTCTTGGGGGCTCTGAGAGCCACCAGAGAGAAGCAGGGCATCATTTTAAGTAAGGTCCACAGCTGGGAAGTAGAGGCCACCAAGGGGTGTGTTGTAGGGATGCCCCGAGGGGATGAGAAAGGTGAGCTGAGCTAGGCAGTGGCAGTTGATATCCCCTTTAGAGGCAGCAGCTCCAGCTCCAGTGGAAGCCCAGCAAGTGGCTTGTTGAACACGTGGAAGATTGTCAGTGTGTCTGTGGTATAGTATAGAGAACCAGAGAGGAGAACTGTGAGACTTGAGGTTGGAACTTGAGTAGGAAAGATGAAGGAGAATCTTGTAAACCATAGTTTGCATTCTAATATTAACAAAGGTGGCAGATCTTCAAGGTGGTTAACAAAGAGGTGTCACCCAAGGACAGTTTCAAAAGTAGGTTAAGTTTGTTAAGTGATGGCACTTAACAAAAGAGTGTTGAAGCTGCAGTATTTGCAGAGAGGCTGGGCAGGAGGTGTGAGGAGCTGGAGAAGGCCTTTTAAATGGCTCTGAGGGTGGGAGAGGAGATGATGAAAACAGGACTAATTGGAATAATTGGCCCAGGGTTTTCATATTAGCTTCACAACTCACCAAAGACCCTAAATGACTTTGAAGATAATTAGGTGCTCTGGGGATTACATCTTTCCCTGTTCTGTAAGGATTCCCACCTGTGTTTGTTTGGGAGCCAATCACAGTCCTCTGATTTCTGGAGGCTGCCATTTCTGACTCTTCTCTGTCAACCTTTTCTTATCCCTTCCATTAGCTTAGTATCCATTAGCCCTGTCCAGGGTGCCCTGCACACACTAGCCTGCCGTTGGGATTCATGGTGGATTTGACTACAGAGGACGTATGAATAACTGATCAGTACAAAGAATAGGTTTAGAGACAAAGAATAGGTTTAGAGACAGGTGCATGTGGGAAGCTTTCTAGATTATACTTTCATTACCTTTCATGTACATGCTTCTAAGAGTGCAGATCTGTGCAAAAGTTCACAGTTAGAGCCCGCAGGGAAACAGCAAAGGAGAAAGGTTAGAACTTGTGGAAAAAACTGAAGGTGATGATAACTATAAAGGCTCTTCTGTTCCAGGGTCCTGTTATGCAGGCACATTGCCCCAGAGTCCTAACTTTTCATCAAACATGACTCCTTGGTATGTATGTGTGTGTGTGTGTGTGTGTGTGTGTGTGTGTGCGTGCGCGCGCATGTGAACCATGCGAGCACTCATGCCTACATGCACACAAGGTTCTGCCTCCCTCTCATTCAAAGCCTCAGTTACAGTTCTCAATGAGTAACAGTCATTCCAGTTCATGTTTGACATTTTCACCCCCTCTGTTATTTACCCTTCCACATTTTTCCCATAATACCTACTTTTTGAAGACTTTTATGTTAATTCTTTCCCATGTGTTATATATAATACTGGTAAAATTGCATGATACCAAAATCTTTAAGTTATATTACTAAAAACAACTGCTATAGTTGTTTGGAAGTGTTTCATTTTAATCACTATTTTAAAAGTATATGAATACTTAAAAATGTTTTAAAGGTAGGTACTCTCTGTAATCCTTTAATTTAATCATATTGCTATTTTGTCTCTAAGTCTGTCATTAGAGAGATTTGCTTTGGATAGCTTTGGAAAGCTGAAAACATGACTAGTCCTGTAAGGTTCACAAGAAAGAATCTGCAACTTGAAGTTGCATCTTGAAGTTGCAACTTGAAGTTAAGTTTGTTAATCAGCTACTACATCAAGAACATTTAAAATTATTAGTGGCTTACTAACTAAAATTTACTAAAGGCTTGTAATTATGGTATTGGAGCAGGGATCATTCCAGAAGGTTTTGGTTTTAAAACTGAATTTAAGTGTCAGAACTGCAATTTTTCATTCCTTCCTTCCTTCCTCCATTGACCAGTCAGCTTATACAACACTGAGTGTAAAGTCATTCTGATCAGAGTCACTGTTGGTGGTCTTTAATTAAATGTAAATATTGTCTCTCTGAACATTTAAAATTGGCCTGTACTGTCAATCAAACTGAAAATGTATAAAGCAAAAAATGTAATCATGTGGCTCAAGGAGCTACACAATTCCCAGAGTAGAACACTCCCAGGCCCAGTCAGAATCAAGAGCAGCTCTAGCCTTTGGAGGCCTTCTGTCCCAAACTTGACACTTGCTTGTTTGCTGCTATTCCTGTTCGTAGTCACATGGGCAAGGCGAGCCCCCAGCTCTATACTTATGTTCTTCCACTGAACACCACAGGAGGATCAGAGCACCGGTAATGATGACACCCTTCCTAGGTGGGCTGCTGCCATTGGCTGCTGAGGTTCCCAGGCCACCCTGGACTCCGTTCCTCACGTGACAAGGACTTTTATGGGTCAAACTTGGGCCTCATATTGTGGTAGATCAAGCCTCACGTAAATTAAATGGTTTTCAGGAGAGACCAGAAGAAAGAATAGGCTCTAGACAGGAATAATCAGTTGTTGCTTGGAACTAATCTTACTGTACACAAGACATTTAAAAGTTATAACTGAAGGGATTTCTCAGAAGATTTCATTAGAAAGGCTTTTGTGACTTGGATCAGTTTTGGAAATTTGTTTAACTAGGAAATCATTAGTTTCAAATGTATTTTCAAAATTTGGTACCACAAAGTTGCATGTATTACATAGTTTTTGTGCTTGTTTTTAATCATCTCTTCTATATATGTGACCGTGGTTCCTTTTTATTTCCAAATTTCTGTAATATTCTCCCCTTTTTTCCCTTTTTTTTTTTTAAATGCTTGGAGAGGAGTATCTATTTCATGCTGTTAAGAAAAAAAAGTAATCTGGATTTGTCTTCTAAGTTCAACCATATTCCATTTCAGTTTTTAATCTTTGTTCCTTTTTTTTTTAATACAGTTTTTTTTGTTTGTTTGTTTGTTTTTAAGATTTATTTATTTGTGCATACAGAACTGGGGTAAAGGCCAGGCCCAGGGGCGGTGAGAGTCTTCACCAGAGACAGAGTGGGGAACAGAACAGGCAGATCAACGAAGTACACTGCTGAGGGGAGCACTGGGCGGGTCAGAAGAGGTCTGCCACACCATGTGGTCACCTCCGGGACAGGCGGGAATCGAACTCATGGGGAAGCGGCTTTAGATTCTCAGTGCTGTGTTTTAACCTGCTTCGCCACCAGGGAGAGCCAATCTTTGTTCCTTTTTTGTGAATTTCTTTTGATACATTTTGTTATTCTTTTTACAGTGTTTTAAGTTGAAGTATACTTAGTTCCTGATTATATTTCTAGAAACCATACAGTTCAGAAGTTTGGGACTGAGGGCTGGTTGAGCATACTTCTGTTATAATAGGATACTTATATATTGGTGGTATATAACTGAAAATGAATATAATTAATGCCTATTAAGAATTTACTTAGCTCTGTATCAACCAGTAGAAATAATTCAGATTTTGTTTAGTGGTCTGTAAGCAGCAGAATTATCAATAGGATTATGTAGAAGCTGCCTAGTAGAGGATCAAATAACATTTCAGCAGAGCATTTGGCAAGAAGTTGTTTTGTTTCTTGTCTCAGTTGTCATTTTTTCATTTTCCAGGAAAGGGTTTGATAAGTTTAAATTGTGTAGGAAATGATTGTAATTCACATTATCTGTGATACTTGAAACACAGTAATTCTAAGTGAAATAGATCAGAAGCAGTCATCTCTTCCGTGTGCGAACATTGGTGTGTTCCGTGAACATGAGCATCTGATGGCTCATCCCTCTTGGTTTGCCACATCCTAAAAATATTTTATTTCCTCAGTGATTAAGCTGCCCTTGAAATAGACAGCAGGTTGTCTTCCCTGACTGACTTTTTCCACTGGGGGCTAGGGGAGAGGGTAGCAAACTGCCATCATAAGAAAACATCTGCTATTCTGGGAGATCCACATGTTCATCTCAAAATCATTAAGAACCCTTTGGAAAGAGTCTAATTAAATAATTAAAAAAATAAAGTGTCCATTAAAGATTTGGTTAGGTGTTTCTACCAACTACAAAAGGAAATTATGATGTTTATACTATCTCTGTGCTTTAATTTGTTAAGTGGTCATCCCATAATCAACTAGAAAGTTGTATTTGTTCAAACAGCAAATTCTTGAGGATTCCTCCCACCTTAAGGGATATCTCTGTGAGTTTCCACTTGACTACAGGAGAGCATTCTGAAAACTAATTTATTTTTCCTTGGTATTGAACCTTTGCTTCTGGACAATTTGAATTTTACTATTTTGAAAGAAGGAATCATAGCAAACAATTACCTCACTCTTGTGTTGTTGTTGTAGCTAACTGAAATGTTATTTGATTACCTGATTTAAGCTCAGACAGTATTTATAGATAATGTTGCTGACAACATTTTGATTTAGAGGAGCCTGACCTTAGCTAGTGGAAGAGAACCATCAGTGAACCAGCAATCCAGAATCTAAGGGAAGAACTGTGCCAGATGAGGGTGTGATGGCTGTAGAGACACAGAAATATCTCTTTGCTCAAATAAGAATTAAGGGTGGGAGATGTCCTGGAGTTCACTGGGATGGGTAGTACTTGATTCAATGCTTGATTCTAGTCAGTTGAGTAGAGAAGGAAGGCAGGATATTCAAAGAGGAACAGGATGAACAAGGATGAGGAGATATGAAACTTCATCACAATTTGGGGGAACTGGAGATGAGCAGAAGTAGGAGAGAACAGATAAGATATAGAAAATATATAGAACTTGACTGCTAATGGCTATTTTCTGTCTTTTAATTCAGGTGAAGTAAAGGTGGATGACCAGAGGTCTTAAGGAATGCTCTTGAAAAGGTCAGAGTTTACAAACTTATAACAACTGAGAAGCAAATTGGCTTTGAAGAAATCACACTCAGACAATGTTGTTTGCTTTTGGTTGAAGAGAGAAAGTCCAACTACAGAAGAAGTCTTTATCTCTGCATTTAAAATAGCATTGTAAATAACAATGTAATTACATTTATATCAGTCTTCTTGTGCAACGTGGAGCTTCTTGCCTGGATAGACATGAGTGACCCAAGGCAGTCACAGGAAGAAAAGCACAAACTTGGCAGAGCCTCAACAAAGTTCAAGGACTCTCCCAGAATCATGCAATCTGATGATTACTTTGCTCGAAAATTTAAAGCCATGAATGGCAACATGGGACCCCCTACTTCTTTAAATGCCTCAAATTCCAGTGAGAGTGGAGGTCCAGCTAATGGTACCCCAGCAGTGCCCAAGATGGGTGTGAGAGCTAGAGTGTCCGAGTGGCCTCCCAAAAAGGACTGCTCCAAGGAGCTAAGCTGCAAGGCACTGTGGGAAAGCCGGTCTCAGACCAGCTATGAAAGTGTCACCTCCATCATGCACAATGGGCAGAATGACCAGAACAATGGGCAGCAGGAGGAGCCACTGGACCTGGACTTTGTGGAGGCCAAGTACACAATTGGAGACATCTTTGTTCATTCGCCTCAAAGAGGACTTCACCCCATAAGACAGCGAAGCAATAGTGATGTCACCATCAGCGACATTGATGCTGAAGATGTCTTAGACCAAAATGCAGTGAACCCCAATACTGGGGCTGCTCTGCACAGGGAGTATGGGAGCACGTCTTCCATAGACCGGCAAGGCTTATCTGGTGAAAACTTCTTTGCTATGCTCAGAGGATACCGTGTCGAGAACTATGACCACAAAACAATGGCCCCATTTGGGTTCCCCGAGTTTTTCCCCTGTGATCCTGCAATCTCTCCCAGCCTTCATGCGGCAGCACAAATTTCTAGAGGAGAATTTGTCCGCTTCTCAGGATTAGACTATGTGGACAGTGCCCTCCTGATGGGAAGAGACAGGGACAAGCCTTTCAAACGGAGGTTTAAGTCAGAGTCAGTGGAAACCTCCCTCTTCCGAAAGCTGCGAACGGTTAAAAGCGAACATGAAACTTTCAAGTTCACATCTGATCTAGAAGAAGGTCGTCTTGAGAGGGGCATTCGCCCTTGGAATTGTCAGCGTTGTTTTGCACATTACGATGTCCAGAGTATTTTGTTTAACATCAATGAAGCTATGGCTACCCGGGCTAATGTGGGGAAAAGGAAGAACATAACCACAGGAGCTTCGGCTGCCTCCCAGACACAGATGCCAACGGGCCAGGCAGGCACCTGTGAGTCCCCATTGGGGAGCAAGGAGGATCTTAACTCCAAAGAGAACCTGGATGCTGATGAGGGTGATGGGAAAAGTAATGACCTTGTCCTGAGTTGCCCCTATTTTCGAAATGAGACCGGTGGGGAAGGTGACAGAAGAATTGCTCTCTCCAGGGCCAACTCCTCATCTTTCAGTTCTGGGGAAAGTTGCTCTTTTGAATCATCTCTTAGCTCTCACTGCACAAATGCAGGAGTCTCTGTCTTGGAAGTGCCCAGGGAAAACCAGCCCATTCATAGGGAGAAAGTGAAGCGCTATATCATAGAGCACATCGACCTGGGGGCCTACTATTACCGCAAATTCTTCTATGGGAAAGGTAAGGAGGAGCGCTGAGTGCAGATGTGTGTCTCTGACACCACTATAACTGTGTGTACCAGAGTCCCCTAAATGAAGCTTATTCTCTGTCTTGGACCCTTGTTTCTGCCAGACTAATCCCTTCTTTAGAAATCCCCCCAACCCATTTCCGGCCTTTGCTGATTTGTAATCCCCAATGTGGAAATGCCTCCTTTCTTTCTCTCTGCCAATTTGCCAGCATCACAATGCTCGCAAGCTGTCATACATTATTTAGATTTAGCCCTTTTAAGAGGTCTTCCCTAATGAGCTCTATACCTCTCTCATTCCTCTGAATAATCTCTTTTTTTGTTGCAGTGGATAATTCTGTGGGGCTTCCCCCTTCGTCACCCCGCCATTTCTTGCAAAGCTACCAATGGACTTAAATGTTAAGATACAAATAATTCTTTGGTGTTGTGATTTTAGAAATGCTTTAATATGGGAGATAAATTATATTTACTTTTATTAAGCTCTTCAGGTTGGAAGGACACCTTCATCAGGAGTCACATAGTCGAATCCTCAGTCTTTAAATAAATCCTCATTCCAGGAATCTGATAGTTCATTCTGCTTGGAGACCTACAGAGAAAGGCTCTACACACGACTTGTAATACACGCCCGGTGAAAACACTCAGGGAGCCTTTTACCGCCTCCTTCTTGGGGATGTGTCTCTTGTGCTCCAGACTTAGGGCTGCAGACTTTTCAGGATTGCATTTCTCTATCTTTAATTTCATCTGCCACCCCTTCAACCTATTCCAAGTATCACTTCCTCAGGCACCTAAGAAGGTGGGGGGAGATAAGTGATTCTGCCACTTCTGTGGATAATTGTGAGGAGGCTGTCCTTTGAATTTATTTGGTTTGAATTTTTATTTTCAAAATGCTTACTTGTAACCTTCAACTCCATTTGTTTCTTTACTGAGGTGGTTTGGGGTGACTCTAACCACTTTCAGTCCCTAGAAACTTTTTATTTGTTTTGCCCTGGATTACAGTCGTTTGCCACATAAATTACAAATGCAAAGATAAACATTTGGATTTTGCTCCAACTTTGCATCAATCCAGATTTAAACCGTTGTCCATAATTGTAATATTAGGAAATTGTATAAACCAGCGGGACCAGGGCTAAATAAACAGGCACTTGCATTGCAGCTGGTCACGTAGTTTCACTTGTCTTCCCGTTCCCATACTGATAACATAATGGGACTGAATTAATTATGTCAACAGGTCTTGGTTTCCAAGCTGTGCTTCCCCTGTCCACAGTCTCACTCCTGGCTTGTGCTGTGCATCAGCACCCCGTTGTGAGCTCTAACCTTCTAGCTAAGGCGTTCCAAAAATCTCCAACTTTTTTTTGGTCTGTGCTGTAAAGCAGCTCACAACCCAGGCGGCTGTTCATGTAGGGGCAGCACATGAAAAGATGCTGTCCGAGGATGCCGTCTAGGTGGAAGTTAGTTATTTTTGGAAAGAGAGATCATGGAGAACACATGCTAATTAAGATTTTTTTAAATTGATGAAGCCATACTTGTCAGTGCTAGCAGTGAAATTGTCTCTTAGAATTCTGCCTTGAAATCCTCAAGCAGTGACTCATGCTGACTGAGTTTTGTAAACAGTCTGTGACTTATCCTTTAAAATACAAGGAGATAGAAAATATGTGTGTGTGTATATATGTGTTTATATGCGTAACATGTAGAAATTTATGTCTAATGCAAGTGTATCTGGAACACTGATGTTTTCTGCACCAAGGTTTGCCACCACTGATCCATTAGTGTCCTTAGGGTTTGTCCTATGAAATGAGTTTAGGTCACTAGATTCTGTTCTCTCACTGCTTTTTGTGGTTTTTTTCCTTGAACTCTTTAACTCCCTGATAATGTTTAAAAAGTTGTCTGTTTAGGGTTTATAATAAGCCTCCATTTATCCTAATTTGCTACCTAGAATTTCCAGGGCACTGGAAATGACATCATCAAATGCATATGATTTGCTATGAAATAAAAATAAAAAAGCTCCAAAGAAGATTCTGAGAACAGATGCCCTGGGGCTGGAATGTGTATAGATATAGACACACAATTTGTCAGTACAAGGATGAGGGGCTCCCTCTCTGGCTCTGGGCTTTCTTGTGGATCTGTTTGTGGACTTCAGACAGCTGAGTTATGGATGACATTGCAGACCCTGCAAAAGGGAGGCGTGAGGCAGTGATCTGCAGGTTGCTTTCTTGCTCTTGTTCTGTGATTCTCTGCTGTGGAAGATGTGCTGTGCCCGCTAATGGGCGTGGCCAGGAGCAGCTAGAATAAGATTGAGCTTCAGCCCCTCCTTTTTCTCTGCAATTATGAACTATGCTTGCTTCTTCTATATTTAGCTCTTCCCCTTTGGGCCTGTGTGACTTCAATGCAGTTGGCCACAATAGCATCTGCTGCTACTCAGGGTGGCCCCTTTGGAGAGGCTAAAGGCTGAGGTGGCAAAAGCTCAGAGTCCCTGTGGCCGGGCCTCCTGTGGTGTGGGGCATCAGACTCAAATCCTGGCTTTACTCACTGTGCCTTTTATTTGCAAGCACATCATCCCAAGTTGCAGGAACACTGTATTTAAAGGAAGGCTCTGAGCAGACAGTAACAGAGAAGGTGTTTTTGCAGGTGGCTTCTTTTCTTCTTTTTCTCCTTTCCCAGCATTCAGCTTTTCTCTTTGGAAGCAAGCCTTTAGGGATCTTTTGATACTTTCTAGAATTATTTATTCCCTCCCCCCACCCCACCATTCTGCACTGTTCAGTGTGAAACTTCCTTTTCAAAGGATTCATATGGCACCCAATAGCTGGGAAAGGTTTAAAATAAAGAGTTTTAATAATGTGGTTTACTCTTTATTGGGTAGTTAACATGAAATGACTGCTTTATGCCAAGGTGTATTCCTGTGACACACAGTCAGTAGAAAGCTTTTAATAACTTTGCAAAGGCATATAGACAGGGGAGTGTCTTACCACAGTCAGCTGTGTAGCAACCTCACTTGTCCAGGCAAATCCTTCTGTGAGACAGCCTTTGAAAGAACAGCGGACTGTGGCGAGTGGCGGTTGCACCACCGAGTCCCTTACTTCCCTGGCGATGAACATGAACAGAGGAACTCCCACTGAAGCTGCTATTTCCCTCTCCCCTGAGCTTACAGCTTGTGAGGCAGGCTGTGAAGAAGGGTCCCCTACAGCAAAGCAACTCCTTGAGCTCTTGCCTGGTGATAAAAGCTTGTACTTCTTAAGAAGTTATGCACTAGAGGGCTCAAGAGTTCAGAAAGTGTCCTGTGCCTTACTTAAGGTCACATAGACAAGAATAGCTCTAGAAGACCAAGTAAGTCTTTCTTGGGTGAAGATCGCTCAAAGTAGGGAAAAGATAAAGCTGGGCTTCTCTGGTGACTCACAGGCGAAATGAAGTGGCTGAATTGTTGTCTGAACCCTTTGGGAACAAAAGCCATTCTGCTATTGTGGGAAAATATGTTCCTCTGACTGCAGGGGGAGAATACTCAGATTAACAATATATGCCCTTTTTATTGTTTAGAATTTTTAAGTGGCCTGTAGGTATTATATGATTATTAAAGGAAAATTTTAAAAAGCAGAGAAGCAGCAACAAAAAAAAGAAAATCTTCCCTATCCAGAAGTGACAATCACCTGGATCTTTCATCTTTATCCTTGTAGGCTTTTTCTGATGCAAATAAATTTATGTAAATGGTACCTACTCTTGCTATGGGTTGCTTTGGATGATCATCCTTCCATGTCATTATGTATAGAGCTGCATCAGCATTTTAAGAGCCATTGTCAGTTATCATTATCTGCTGTGGTGCATGGGGAGATGCCACATACTTGCCAGCCATGATCTGGGCGGAAGAGTTCATCACTGCATTTGCTTTATTCAGAGAAATACCGATCAATATGGTAAAGCACAGTGATGAAGGAGCATGTATTCTATGTGCACTTAGATGTAATACACCTGCAAAGTAACTCATGTCAAATGCATTGAGTGTTCATTTTAATAAATAAATAAATACTGATTTGATATATATTTTTTTAATTTCATAAAATTTAGAACATTGTGGGCCCTCCCTGGTTGCACAGTGTTTATTAAAGCACAGCACTAAGAAACTAAAGCCACTTCAGCATGAGTTCGATCCCCACCCCAGGGTGATCCACATGGTGCGACAGACCCCTCCTGACCCGCCACTGCTCCCTCAGTAGTGTACCTTGTCAATTGGCCTGTTCTGCTCCCCACTCTGTTTCTGGTGAAGCCTCTCACCGCATCTGCACCTCTGGCTTGTACCCCAGTTTTGCAAAAATAAATAAATCTTTAAAAAAAATTAGAGCATTGGAAAAGCTTGAGTTGTAGCCTCCCCTTTCTCCACTTGACTGTGGTCTGTGCTGAAGTGACTCACTTGCAAAGGAGTGAGCATAGAAAGACAGGGGCAAATAATTCTGCAGTGAGGATTTTGGCAAACACCAGCCAGGTGATCAAACTCCACATAGCAGCGATAGGTCATGTGGATTATTATTCTGTATATAATGGGGATGACATTTCTGGGGTATCCCTCTCCAAACCCAGAACCTCCACCTCATTTAGGGGAAAACACAAAACAAATCTCAACTGAGGGGCAGACCACAGCATTCCTGCCCAGTCCACCTCTAAGCCAGCCTGGTCATCACAGACAGGGGAAGTCAGAGGACCTGTCATAGCCTAGAAAAGTCTAAGAGCTAGGGGAGTAAATGTAACCTCTCGCCCTGGATGGAAACCTCTTGCCCTGGATGGAATTGTGTCAGAAAACAAAACAATTTTCCTTAATATAAAAACTTTATTGAAATCTCAATAAAGTGTGGACTTCAGTTGAAGTTATGAAATATCAACATTGGTTTATTATTTGAACATCATACCAAAGCAATTAAATGGTAACAACTAAGAATCTGGGTAAGAGGGAATAGAAAACTCGTTCTTATCTTTGCAGCCTTTCTGTAAACTAAAAGCTTATTTAAATAGTTTA